ACATTTATGCTGTTATTGGGAACTGGGTTGGTTTGGGGAGCAGTAGAAGTAGGGGATACTAATTGGAAACTTTATTGGTCATTTCATATTAATTATCCAGGCCTACCATAAAGTCAGTTTTGGAGAGTTTTCTATTTCTTTTTCATATATGATGGTTCCTTTGTTGGAACTCTGCATGACTATTACAGTTTCACAGTTATATTCTTGCAAAGATTTTTTCAGTTTCTGTAAATGGCCTGCCCAATGTTGGATTCAAATGTAACTGTACTATATTATGTTATTTGATCTATTTTGTTTAATATAGTTAGGTCTAAGGAATTAGAGATTATTGTGCTATATTATGGATGTATACTTATTTGGTTCACCAGCCGATGAATTTCTCAGGTCATACTTTCAGGAATCCTATCATTGGTTCTTTTTTTTTTTATTGAGAAAAAGAAAAAAAAAGTTTCCGCCTCCTCCCAGCCTCCCATTTCCCTCCCACTCCTCCCACCATTCTCCCCCTCCCCCCACTCCTCTTCCCCTCCCTCTCCAGTCCAGACAGCAGTCAGGGTTCCCTGCCCTGTGAAAAGTCCAAGATCCTCCCCCCTCCGTCCATGTCTAGGAAGGTGAACATCCAAACTGGCTAGGCTCCCACAAAGCCAGAACATGAAGTAGGATCAAAACCCCGTGCCATTGTCCTTGGCTTCTCATCAGCCCTCATTGTTCACCATGTTCAGAGAGTCCGGTTTTATCCCATGCTTTTTCAGTCACGGTCCAGCTGGCCTTGGTGAGCTCCCAATAGATCAGCCCCACTGTCTCAGTGGGTGGGTGCACCCCTCGTGGTCCTGACTTCCTTGCTCATCTTCTCCCTCCTTCTGCTCCTCATTGGGACCTTGGGAGCTCAGTCCGGTGCTCCAGTGTGGGTCTTTGTCTCTTTCTCCATCCATCACCAGATGAAGGTTCTATGGTGATATGCAAGATATTCGTCAGTATTGCTATAGGATAGGGTCATTTCAGGTTCCCTCTCCTCAGCTGCCCAAGGAACTAACTGGGGACATTGCCTTGTGCTCCTGGGAGCCACTCTAGGTTCAAGTCTGTTGCCAACCCTAAGGTGGCTCCCTTAACTAAGATTTGTGCTTCCCTGCTCCCCTATCTAACCTTCCTTTATCCCAATCATCCTTTTTCCCCAAGTTCCCCCCATCCCCCCCTTCTCACTTTTCTCTCCCCATCTCCCCTTACCCTCATCCCACCCCACCCCCAAGATCCCAATTTTTTGCCTGGCAATTTTGTCTACTTCCCATAGCCAAGAATATAACTATATGTTTTTCTTTGGGTTCACCTTCTTATTTAGCTTCTTTAGGATCACCAATTATAGACTCTGTGACATTTATTTATGGCTAGAAACCAATTATGAGTGAGTACATCCCATGTTCATCTTTTTGGGTCTGGGTTACCTCACTCAGGATAGTGTTTTCTATTTCCATCCATTTGCATGCAAAATTCGAGAAGTCATTGTTTTTTACTGCAGCATAGTACTCTAATGTGTATATATTCCACACTTTCTTCATCCATTCTTCCATTGAAGGACATCTAGGTTGTTTCCAGGTTCTGGCTATTACAAATAATGCTGCTATGAACATAGTTGAACAAATGCTTTTGTCATATGATAGGGCATCTCTTGGGTATATTCCCAAGAGTGGTATTGCTGGGTCAAGGGGTAGGTTGATGCCAAATTTCCTGAGTAACTGCCACACTGATTTCCAAAGTGGCTGCACAAGTTTGCATTCCCACCAGCAATGGATGAGTGTGCCCCTTCCTCCACAACCTCTCCAGCAAAGGCTATCATTGGTGTTTTTGATTTTAGCCATTCTGACAGGTGTAAGATATCTCAAAGTTGTTTTGATTTGCATTACCCTCATTGCTAAGGAGGTTGAGCATGACCTTAAGTGTCTTTTGGCCATTTGAACTTCTTCTGTTGGGAATTCTCTGTTCAGTTCAGTGCCCCATTTTTAATTGGGTTTATTAGCATTTTAAAGTCTAGTTTCTTGAGTTCTCTATATATTTTGTAGATCAGACCTTTGTCTGTTGTGGAGTTGGTGAAGATCTTCTCCCAGTCAGTAGGTTGCCTTTTTGTCTTAGTGACAGTGTCCTTTGCTTTACAGAAGCTTCTCAGTTTTAGTAGGTCCCATTTATTCAATGTTGCCCTTAATGTCTGTGCTGCTGGAGTTATACATATGAAGCGATCTCCTGTGCCCATCTGTTGTAGGGTACTTCCCACTTTCTCTTCTATCAGATTCAGTGTGTTCGGACTGATATTGAGGTCTTTGATCCATTTGGACTTGAGTTTTATGCATGGTGATAGATATGGGTCTATTTTCATTCTTCTACAAGTTGACATCCAGTTGTGCCAGCACCATTTGTTGAAGATGCTTTCTTTTTTCCATTGCATACTTTTAGCTCCTTTATTGAAAATGAGGTGTTCATAGGTTTGTGGGTTAAAATCCGGGTCTTCTATATGATTCCATTTGTCGACTTCTCTGTTTTTATGCCAGTACCACACTGTTTTCATTTCTGTAGCTCTGTAATAGAGTTTGAAGTCAGGGATGGTACTGCCTCCAGACATTCCTTTATTGTACAAGATTGTTTTGGCTATCCTGGGTTTTTTTGTTTTTTCATATAAAGTTGATTATTGTCCTTTTAAGATCTGTGAAGAATTTTGATGGGACCTTGATGGGGATTGCATTGAATCTATAAATTGCCTTTGGTAGAATTGCCGTTTTTACTATGTTGATCCTCCCAATCCAAGAGCAAGGGAGGTCTTTCGATTTTCTGGTATCCTCTTCAATTTCTTTCTTCAATGCCTTAAAGTTCTTGTCAAATAGATCTTTCACTTCCTTGGTTAGAGTTACCCCAAGATATTTTATGCTGTTTGTGGCTATCGTGAAAGGTGAAGAATTTGGAGTTGATTAAGTAGACTTTCAATGGGAATAGTGATTCTATAAAAGTATTTCCAGCCAGTTCTCTAATTCCTTCTATTATGTAAGTATACAAAAGGTATTATCTCTGTAGTATAGACTCTCACTAGATATCAAATAAATATACTAGAACTTTGATGTTGGACTTCTTAGCCTTCAGAATAATGAGTCATATACTTGAACAGTTTATAAATGACCTGGTTCATGATACTTTTCTGTGGCTGCATAGACAATTGTATTATTACTAACTTGTCAAATATGTGATGAGATTTATCCATTAATATGAAAAAATATTCAGTAAATGTCCCCTATTCTATACAATGAGGATACAGGTATAAGACATCAATTGTAGTCAGCCAGACATGGTATCACATTAATCTCAGCACTTGAGAGGCAGAGGCAGGTGGATCTCTGTGTTTGAGGCTATCCTTGTTTATAGAGGTAGTTCCAGAATAGCTAGTACTGCACAGAGAAACTCTGTCTCAAAAATAATAATAAAACAAATAGCCCAAAGCACATTATGGGGTGGTGGTGGCAAACTCCTTTAATTTTAGCACTCAGGAGGCAGAGGCAGGTGGATCTCTGTGAATTGAGGCCAGCCTGGCCTGCAGAGCGAGTTCCAGGACAGTCAGGTCTATGCAGAGAATATGTGTTTCAAACAAACAAACAAACACAAAGAAAATAAATGAATTATGAATTAAAAAAATGACATATGGGTGATTGTAGCATGAATTCTAATTGGTCTTAATAATAACCTGGAGTCGGCTATCAGGGGCGAAAGACGAAAGATCCAAGAAGCAAAAGAACTAGAAAATTCTTACCTCTCTACCAATACTCAGACGGGACAAGGAAGATCCTGTCCCTATGAATACTCAGACTGAATGCTTTCTCTATGAAACCTCAGACTGCATCTGTGCTCCTGTCTCCCGCTGTCTTATATTCCTCTCTCTTCCTCTCTCTGCCCAGCCATATCACTCCTGTCTCCACCTCCCTAGTGCTGGGATTAAAGATATAGGATCCCAAGTGCTGGGATTACCTTTGTGTTGATCTTGTGTAGCCCAGGGTAACCTTGAACTCACAGAGCTCCATCTACCTCTGTCTCCCGAGTGCTAGGATTAAAGGTATGTGCTACCATTGCCTGGCCTCTGTAGCTAACTAGTGATTTGACTCTGTACTCTGATCTCCAGGCAAGCTTTACTTTTTACAACACAAACAAAATATCACTATAATTGGTGCCCACTAGCAGGTCTGGATTTAGATGGGAATGCAGACAAGGAACCAGATATTATAATCAGGGAAAACTGATGTATATATATTATGTGACATCAGCTAACTCCAAACAAATGTTTCTCTGTTATTAACAAAGTCCATTGTGGATAGACTTTGATGGCTGGTCAGTTGTCCTCCTTGGGCTCAACATCCCAGACTGTTCATCCCAGTCTTTTGGCAGCAGCGCATCAATATGTATTGTCTCTATGCTCACCATGGCACTCAGACTGAATGCTTTCTCTATGAAACCTCAGACTGCATCTGTGCTCCTGTCTCCCGCTGTCTTATATTCCTCTCTCTTCCCCTCTCTGCCCAATATTAGATATTATTTGCTCCAACAACTTACTATTTCTGGGACCATTTACTATGCCCCTCCCTGCTTCAGTTTTTCAGGAAGTGGGGATCCGACTATCCTATAGAAGAGCATAAGGTTTTGCTAGTTTAAGCTACCATGGGTAAGTGTAAGCCTTTGTTAGAAGTCAGCAGGTATAAATATCAGGTGTCTTTAACAGCTTCCTCTAAGTTTTGATGTTTGGAATTCCACTGTAATTTTCAGCATTATCTAAAAGGATTCTTGTATTCTGTGAAGGAAGAGCATATGTGAAGTAGGGTTTTATTTTTGAGGGTAGGGTTTATGACAATGTTAGATGTTCCTTCTCAGAAATACCAATCTGGGTACAGTTCAGAGTACATCTGCATTGCACTTTTTTACCTAAGGAAGCACTGGTTCATGTGCTGTTCATGACACTTTTTTTCCTACTTTATTTCACTCAGATGCAGTGACTGAAGTGAAGACAGATATCTACGTGACCAGTTTTGGCCCTGTGTCAGACACTGACATGGTAAGTATATTTCCTGAAATAGGAAAAGAAAAAAAATAGTTCAACAAGTGAAAATAGTCATTTTCCATAGTAGAACGCTGATTTGTGTTCTAAGGAGATATCTTTTCTCATGAAATCCTTACTATCATATTTTTGGACACATTTACCTTTTCCGTACCCCCTTCACCTGTTTCCATAAACTGTGCATAGCCACACCTGTCTCTTCTACTCCACATCTTTAAAATTTGGCTTAGTTCTGTATCTGCAGTTATCTTCCCCTGCACACTTTTCTTGCACTTTACCTATTTGTTCATTTGAAGAGAGCAGTATAGTAATTACTACTGTTGCTCAAATAGCCAGTAATGCGATCCTGGAAGGCTGTTCCTTGTGATTGGTCTCCATTAACTGAGGTCATGGATGGACCAAATATTTCAGTGCTTGTATCTAAATCACTTTTAAATGCTGGTCCTTTTATAGATGTGGGAAGGTGGAGGAGATACAAGTACTAGCAATAGGGCAGAGGCAGCATAACAGTGGTACTGACGAGCTACCCACAAAGATTGCCTCTCCTCCTCTAATGAATGTCTACATACCAGATATTGGGTTATATTTTTTCATATAGAGAAAAAAGAAGCCATTGTTTTATACTGAGAATAAATTTTTGAGTTGATTTTTGAGACTGCATACTTTTTTATATCTCTGGCTGGACCAGAACTCATCCTGTAGATCAGGCTGACCTTGAACTCATGATAATTCTCAATTTTCTGCTTCATGAATGTTGAATGACAGTTAAGCACTATTACAACAGACAAGTAATGAAAATCTTAATATTTCATAAAATATGTTTAAATCAATGTTCTTTATGCACTATTTTGATATCTTTTGTTTTGCTTCTGGGCGGGGGGGACCAGCCTCCAGCAACAGAGGGTTCAAAGAAAAATCCACAGAGTTTTTATCTGAGGGTATAAGGTAAAAGACACTCACACACTCTCTTGATGACTTTCTTTTTAATTCTTCTTCTGTATTCTATATTCTATATTTCTTATTTTCCTGGTGATTTCCTTCTCTCATTCTTGATTTTTTCCTTCTAACTCTATCTTTATTCTTTCCCTTAGAGCTTATATATACCAGCAAATCTTTCAGGTAATAGAAAAATTACAATGAAGTTACATCTATTTTTTAAGTCAATGATTATAATAAATCCAGGTAAAACATGTTTTTCATCTTCCTTACATGATTAAAACAAAGTGATCTCAAGGACACACATTTACATCTAAGCAACTTGTTATAGATTAACAGAATGTGAGCAAGCAGGCTATTTTTCTCAGTCATTTCTTTTGCTGGCAGGCTGCATACTGCATTTACAAAGAAAGAATCAATCACTTTATTATTTATCATGAAAGGGAATCTTAAAGGATTCTCAAACCTAGACGTTTATATATGAAAAGCAATCAGCTTTATTTTAAATCTTTAGGGTGCATACCTACTCATAAATAGTTTTTTGTATCAGAAGATTGAGGGCAGAAATAGGTACAAGGAATTAATCATCGTTTTTGATCACTGACCAATACTAGCAAGGAAAGTATGTCATCTACTAAAAATTGGGCTGCTTTATGTTTTTGGCCCTATGTGTCTCGTGAACTTTCAATTGTTTTCAAGGGTTTTTCATATTAAAGCTATTATCAAAACATCTAATTTAAGTTGAAGTTATTTTAAGGCTCTGTTTCATCTATGATGCCATCTAAAACCTGTGAACACATCCCCCATTCAATTGCGGATCCTCAATAGAAACTCATGTGTTCTAGCTGTGTGACACTTCCTTGTTTTATTTTTTATCCTCTGCAGCCTCTGCTTCATCAGAGACAGGGGCAACATTTTATCCTACCTTTGCCTATGATAATTTCCCCACTAAACTAACCTCTTTCATAATCCCTTACTATATTTGTTAAAAAACTTCAATCATCAAAATCTTATTTAAACTAACACTATTATTGTACAAAATCATTATTTCAGTTAAATAGTCCAGCTTAGGAGGAAATCATCTTCATAATAATCCACAGGTAAAACTTCCCAGTAGAATGGGATATTTCTATGACATAAACACACTATATCACAGACAGTGGGTCTCCTCACACCCTTTCATACTACACCAGATACCAGAGAAAGATGGCAGCAGCAAACATGGAAAGGAACAGGAGAAGCAAAATACATTCTGAAGTCTGTGGTCTTGGAGCCTTGCCTATCCCCAGTCAACTGCTATCTGCTGCTCCTCTGATATGACCATTGACATTTATGTATGTCTGTTCTTAGTTGGTCATGGCCAGCTTTTTATGTGGGTGCTAAGGATCTGAACTCATGTCTCCCTGCTTTACACCAAACACTCACTACTAAACTTTCTATCTCTCAGCCTCAAGAAAAATTAACATTAAAGAGAAAATATAACACATTCTTTTCTCTTAGCACACCACACACACACACACACACACACACCACATTTTCTCAGTGCCACTCTTTCATTATCACCTGTAAATACATTCAGAAAAATGTACACATAACACCAAACACACATAGATGCACATAGTTGAAGCTCTGTCTTAAAAATAGTCTAATACATGACACATGCAAACAGGTACTCGAACCCAGAGATACCAATGAAGCATACACATAGTCTCTTCACCTGGCTTCCCCACCAGTATGTATGCAGGGGCTCTGGAGACATCTCTGAGAATCTAGATTTTTGTCTCTTTCTCTTTTCAAAGTTTGATTATTTCACTTGTTTGTTTATATTTCTTCCATGGAGTTAAGTTAAAGCATTAGAATGCGTGAATCTTTCCTGGTCAGGAGGAAATACTGGGTCAAATGCATTTCATGTCCTTTGAGCAGTACTCCCATTCTTTCTTAAGACTGTAGTTCATCTGAGTGAGAAACACATTGCTCTTGCTTTTAAAAGGTTTCCTCTCAGTGTTCTTGGGAGTGTGCAACAGCTGATCCCACACAGTCAGACTTTGATGATGAGTTGCAACAAAAGCATGTCTGACAATAGAGTACATGAAAGTCGTGAAATTTAATTTGGAGTACAATAAATGAGTTGGAAAGTGGATATAATAGGGATTTTATAGACATCATAATTGAACAGGTCATGATAACTCTGCAATAAGTGGAGTGAAATAATGCACATCCCTTCAATAATAATATCAACACTATGAGTCAACAAGAGACCTTGTCGCAATTTGAGTGAAATGAGACGCTGTGCCTTTCCGGAACTCTCTACGTTTAGGAGTTTTTAGGCCATTTTCTTGATTAGATATAAAGAAAGGTGGTAGAGAAGTGGCAGTAACAGACAGGATGGTTAAAAAAAGATTTAGTGAAAATGTACTTTCAGACTGAGATGTCCATCCCTTAATAATGAAAACTATATCTTTGCATATGGAAAAATTCCCTTTGCTATTGCAAGATCTTTTGTTTAAAGTTGCTGTTGTTGGTGGTTTGTGTAATGTTTTCTTTCTTAATTTTTATACATTTTAATAAAATATAGTTTCATCACTGTTACCTTTTCTTTCCTTTCCTTACCCCTCCCAATCCCTTCCAGCGCCTTCCATGCACTCCCCCTAAATTGGTAGCCTCTCATTCCCCAATTATTATTGTTAACATCATTTGAATTGCAATGTATATCATGGAGGTTGAGGGATTGTTAAGTAGGAAAGTTTAGATGTCAGTTCTACGTATTATCCTATCCTGAATGATATTTTGACTGCTGAAACGTAGCAAGTGCCAGCTGTAAATCTTCAACTGAGAAACTTCCTAGGAAGTACAATAGGCTGCCAAGTAATGATGCAAGTAAAATAATACAGTATTACGCAATCACAAGTATTATTTTATAGTCATAGAACTGATCACCTAGCTTAAAGGGAAAGAGTACCAAAAGTGACTGAAAATCCATAATGAACATTATAGTCATAACTCTTGATAATATATTCAGGTAACATATTCTGTTGTGACAAATATTAAGGAAATTATGCAAAGTTATCAAAAATTTAAATATCACACAGAAAAAAAGCATCCATTATAAAAGAAATAATAGTTCAGGGAAGGATGACTTTACTGTTATTGGTAAACTTGAAATCTGTTCCTTTCTAGCATTAGAAAAAGATTATGTCCACTTGAGATCTTTTTTTTACTACAGACCTGGGTACACAGAGGATTGGCCTATTTTGAATGCTTTTTAGGAAGTCAATTTCCTGTCATCTCATTGTCTAGTAGTATTTCCAGATGCAATCACAAAATGGGTCTCTATTCACGAGTTTCTTCATAGGAGTTTATGATCAGCTATCTACTGGGATTTGTGGAACATGGTTATCCAGGCCACATGCAAATGCTTGGAAGAACATTTTAAGAGCCATGTACCACTGAAATAGTGCTATGGATTAGCTTTTCTACATGGAGAATGACAGAGAGAAAGGAAAGGGAGAAGGTGCTCAAAATTGGAAAAATGACAAGATCTTTACTAATTCATGTCATGTATGTTGAACCCCATATTCTCCTAAATAAGAACTAACCTTGAAAGATTTTTCTGGTCCTTGCTTTGATGTGGCATGTTTGGAGAGTTGAAGCCCCATGTAGAAAAGTATTAAGTGTCTTTCCCAGGAGGTAAACTTAGGCTTATTCCCTAGATTTGATTGAAATGCCTCCCAAAACAACAGAATTCATTTGGCAATCTAGAGGCAATCATCCTCAGAGAATATGCAAGGGCTTGGTGAGGAAGTAATTGATTGTATTGCTAGATTGTTTTTGGCCAAAGATTGTGGGATACTAAAGAAGCAAACAGTTACTATCTGATTTTTCTCCAGAGTCAAAACTTCTGGAGAATAGATTTATGTAGCCTAACTTTAAAATTATTAAGTGGATTAATAGGAATATTCTTAAAATACATCATATTTTTGAAAATAGCCATTATAGATACAGGTTAAAAGTCCTCTGTACCAAATACTGAAAGCTATTCTTTTTGATACATTAAATTCTAA